GTGGGACATTAAATAGAGTGAACATTAATGGAAAATAAGGTTGGTTTAGTTGAAATTATAGAAGGCCTTGATATGTTGTAATAATTTAGATGTAGAGTAGAATGAACCATATAGGTAAAATTTGAAGTGGATGGGAAAAGGACATCAACATAAATTCATTAAGTAAGAAATACAAATGTCTGACAAACATATGAGAAGATGATTAACCTCACACATAAAGAAATTTAATTTAAAACAAGATTCCATTGTTTATAAGGTTAGCAAAACTTTTAAAGATTGATGATGCCTGGCTGGCTAAGGTGTGAAGAAATAGGAGGTCTTATATAAAGTTCATTCATTCAGCAGTTTATTACTGAAAACCTCCTTTGTGCTGGGTATTATTCAAGGCACTTAGAAAACATTAGATAACCAAATAAATAAAAATTCCTGTCCTTGGAGAACTTTCATTCCAGTTCGTGAGAATTTAAATTTGTACAACCTTTCAAGAGGAATATCTGAAAATTTATAATGCACATGTGTTTTCTCCCAATTATACTTTCTAAGGAAATCACAATACAAGGAGTGCAAAGATGTATTTATATGCAATTATTTTGAACTTTCCAAAGGCAAGTCACTGTAGTAAATGCTCTAATTGGGTTGTCTTTTTATTGTTGCATTATAAGAGTTCTTTGTATTTTTGGATACAAGTCCGTTATCAGATATGTACTTTGAAATTTTTTCTCCCACTCTGTGGGTTGTCTTTTCACTTTCTTAATGGTATCTTTTGAAGCACAAAACTTTTTAATTTTGATACCATCCAGTTTACCTAATTTTTCTTGTGTTGCTTGTGCTTTTGGTGCCATAGCTGAGAATGCTTTGCCAAATCCAAGTTCATGAAGTTTGGCTCCTGTGTTTTCTTCTAAGAATTTATGGTTTTAGCTCTGAGATTTAGATCTTTGATCCACTTTGAGTTAATGTTTTTATATCGTATGTGGTGTAAGGGCTTTATACTAGTTTTAATGTGGCTACTAGAAAATTTTTAATTAGTTATGTGGCTTGCATTATATTTCCATTGGACAGAACTGGCCTAAACCAGTAGTCTCCAAACTTTTTGATATGAATCCCTGTTGGGAAAAAAATTTAACATGCACGCATCAATATATGTATATATATTTATATTTGTTTATAGATTATATGCATGTACTATCATATGAATAATATGTACATTATAATATAAAACCTACACAGAAAATTAAAACATAAAGATACATAATATTAAAATAAATGTAAATGAAATTTCCTACACTTCAGTGGATTATCTTGCACGTAACTACTTTTGGAAACCATTGGTCTAGACTGTGACCTTACTCCTCTAATTCACTCAAGTCTTCCTTCTCCAAGCCATTTCCACAGTGTTTCAGAAGTGCAGATCTGATCATGTCATGCCTAACCAACTTAAAGATAAAATCCAAATTCAGCTTGTCATACAAGGACTTTCGTCATATATCCCTGCCTATCTCTCTCTAGCTTCAGCCCTCACCATGTGCCATATGTTTTATCAATCCATACCATACTGCTTCCAGTTTTCTGCAGCAGATCATCCTTTACTTATGCTTTTTCCTCTACCCAGAATACTATTTCTCTACTTCTTCACCACTTTAGTCAATATTGTTTTCATTCCTCGGTGTGCCCTTTCATAGTATTTAGCACACTACGATAATGTTTTTATTTGCCTATCTTCTTCAGTAAACTATTAGATCCTCCAGATAGAAAAATTGTGTGTTCCCATACCTACAAAGATTAGAGGCTTTTAATAAATATTTGTTAAAGTGTTCATAAATATCTTATTGAATTAATTGAGTATGTTTCTTCTAGTTCAATCTGCCTTTTCTGTAGTCATTGATATTCATGATCAAAAAAAAATTGCTAATTTTCCCTTCATCATTTTTGTTTAATTTAAGCAGGTATTATAATGATGAAAAAGTTATATTTCTTGTTTTTCCTGTGTATATATAGCGTTTTTTTAAATAAAAATATTTTACAATATTATTTTCTATTCTTATTTTTGTTTTCTTTTTCTTTCTTTTTTCCTTTTTTTTTTCCTGATAACATCGTGGGCTAAATGAGTCATTTAAGGCAACCTGGGAAACTTAATACCATTTCTGATATATCTGTGAGGTGTGTCTATCTTTACAACTGACTTAGAAGTGAATTTTTTTTTTTTTTTTGTAGATCCTTTATTTGTATTTATTTATTTTTTTTTGTGAGGAAGATCAGCCCTGAGCTTAACATCCATGCAGATCCTCCTCTTTTTGCTGAAGAAAACTGGCCCTGGGCTAACATCTGTGCCTATCTTTTTCCACTTTATATGGGACGCCGCCACAGCATGGCTTGCCAAGCGGTGCATCAGTGCGCGCCTGGGATCCAAACCTGGGCCGCCAGCAGCGGAGCGCACGCACTTAACCGCTACGCCACCAGGCCGGCCCCAGAAGTGAATTTTTAAAGCGTGATCAGTGGCTCAGTGGGAGACCAGTTGTACACAGTGTCTTTCACATTATAACCATTATGCATCATGAATGATATCAACATTCATAGTGGTAGTCACAGTCATTCCTATCAGCATCAGTTCCTGGAAAGTTTTTCTCAATAAAATAGCACTGTAAGCTAGTAATCAGAACACTGTAGAACACATTAATCAGCCATTTCAAGAAATCATAAGATGCCTGCCTTCTTTTTAGAGTTGACTTTCGTCACTCAGAATTCCCCAACCAAAAGCAAGGAAATTCTTAGTAGAAGGAGGTAGTCCTGGTGTTAGTGCTTAAGCACCAACATACCAAGAATTTCTTTAGTTCAGTGATTTATATCGTGATATTTTGCATTGATGAGTGATATCACACCATATCTGCATAAGAGCATTATGTAATTTCCAAACAAAACAAAAAGCACCCAAACTAAATGAGGTACTTAATATTATTAAACTTGATGTCTTCAAGTCATTATCTTCTTCAAAATGTTGGTAATGGGTGACCTTTGCATCTCATTATTTTCTTGCATCCCTTTTTCTTCCATTTCATCTCATTCGTAACTCTGTTTCTGTGTAATAGCATTTGATTGTGTTCATTGTTCTATACAGAGCATTACACAAATATGGTCTGTACCTTAGACGTACATGTATTAAGAAATTACCATGTACGAATTACCGTGTATAAAAAGACCCTAATGCTGAGTTCTGTGGGAGACAGAAAGATGAAAAGACTTATTCCTAACATATATTAAGGATGAGAGGGAATGAAAATATGAATGAAGGTAACTCTAAGGTTTTTAAATTAACCTAATAAAACACAGAGCTAATGATATAAAATACTGATATTTGCAAACATATAATAGAATCAACAGATTTATAATGTAAACATAAAATCGGCATTAAGACTTACTTTATTTGTAGAGATCTTATTTTAGGGTCAAATTTCAGAGAACCTGCTATATTTTATAGTGGGGGATGGAAAATGGGGTAACCATAAACTGTAAACACCTTAAAATTCTAGAAAGAAAGAAAATAGATTAGTAGTTCCCTAGGGCTGGGCAGGGAGAATGGGAAGTGATATTAATGGGTAAAAATTTCCTTTTTAGGGTAATGAAAATGTTCTAAAATTAGATTATAGTGATAGTTGAACAGCTCTAAATATACTAAAACCATTGAATTGTACACTTTAAATGCGTGGACTTTATGGTATGTAAATTATGTATCAATAAAGCTTTTTTCTTAAAAAATGAATTATTGTCAAAAAATGGAGACTGTCTTTTCCATCTCTAACTTCAGCTGATTATTAAGGCAAAATCTTATGCCAATGGGAAGGGCAGAAACTTAGATATGAGCATATCTAAACAAGCTACCCAGTTCACTGTATAAACTTTTACCAGAATTCATCTTTTTCATTTGAAATGAGTTCTTAGAAATAAATGTGTGGGATGATATTTAGCATTATTTTCAGAGTTTTGTGTGCATTCCTTTATCTGATGTTAGGAAATATTAAAAATACAATGGAAATTGTTTCTGTCCTATAATTTTATTTAGAAGAAAAATATTTTACTTCTTATTGTAAAACATCCTGTTTTCTCAGATTCTGTAGATTTTGTGATTCTCTCAGCTTAATAGGTTAACTCATACAGAACATGAAAATGTGATAAATATGAAGTTTTTAGGTTTTTGGAATTACAGAGAGTATTTGCAGCAATGTGTCTTCTCAACGTTATTAGCAGTTCTTTAAAGAATTATGCCCCTTTTTCCCTCCTGTAGTTGGGAGGAATAGTTTTATAGCTGAAACTTTTTGTTTTTATTGTGTCTTACAAGGTGGAGTTGGGACATTTCACATTTAATGTGGTCTTAAATACTGAAGGTTACATTCAGTACAATAAATTGTGATCTTGTGATGATCACAAGTGTGATCTTTTAGTGGTTTCTTTTAGCATGGAATCTTTGCCCTTACTATAGACATTCTCCACTTTTCATACATCTTTTCCATCTCCGCTTTCAATAGAAAATCTGTTCATTTGTGTTTTGGATTATAAAATGCATTATACTGTCTGAGGTAAACACTGATGCATTTCAAAGTGCAAGCTTATTATTGTTTCAACTAATTGCCTGATTTATTTGTAAATGGGAAATTTTTACAAAAATGGAGAAAAGCTGTAAATTGCTATCTTGTGGTCTTTTCAAGTAAATATCATAATGTAACTCTCCACTTTTATAGCAAAGGCTAGAAACCATTACTGCAGTAATCAGTATATCACAGTTACGTTATTGTGGAGATTTTATTGTTACTTTCAGAGTTCTGAGTTATTGGGATATTGGTTTCCCACTGTTGACACCTGAAAATATTATTTGAGTCTATATTTTTTCTGCTCATATTTAAGTGTTGTTAGGAAGTGGTAAGTCAGTTTTCAAGCATACAACACATTTTGAATATTTTAGGTAGCATTCCACTTTTGTAAGCATTAATTTTCTTATTTCATTTGCCTAGTGTCCACTTGGCAAGAAGAGTGCTTCAGTTAGAAAAACAGAACTCTTTGGTTTTAAAAGATCTGGAACATCAAAAGGACCAAGTAACACAGCTTTCACAAGAGGTAAATAACTTAAAAGAAACACATATAAAGAATCACAGTGTTCATTTTAATTCTTTGTTACTCCTTTGTGTATTTTCTGAGCAGTTTTATTTTTTTTTTTTTTTTT